TCGAGATTACGGTCGACAATTGGTACCGCGGATCCTCGACGTAACATCGTAATCCGAGATCTCGAAGGCCACCCCTAAATCTGGCGGCCGCCGTCGCGTGTCTCGCCCAGGAGGCGGGAAGTCCTTCCTCCGCGAGCTGCGCCAGAGCCGCCCTCAAGCCGTATACCAATGTGGCGCTTATCGTGTGATGATACACCCTCCTTGATGCCCCGAAACAATTCCAATAATCCCCGAGGATCCTCATGTCCCAATAGTAGGCCGGTCGCGACGTCCTCCGGAATATCTTTTTCCTGCGATCGGCGCGCGATAATCGTAAGAGAATCGTGCAAAAGAAATCGAAATGACAAGAATTCATCCCCCTCCGCGGCGGAGGGGATGATATGCGCATATGATTCACACCGAACGTGGGAAATCGAATTTCGTGACCGCAAACGGTCACAAAATCACGTGACGATCCGGATGACTCACGGATTCGATTGATATTCTACGCGGTCTTTATCCCGCGGGTTTCTCGCCGGACGATTAGTCGTTCTTACCGCAGAGAAACCCGTTTTCTCCGGCGGGTGGGATCAATCGGCATTAATACGTACTCCGCGCGCGGACCAAAAGAGACGGGCGTCAATCCTGGTGGCGCGCCGAGAACCTTCTGACTGCCGGTGTACGTCGCGTCCACCTTCCAGGCGTCCATGTAGAACGGCTCTCCACCTAAGGACGCCACCGTGTCGACGATCAACAGTGCTCCATATCTGTCAACGAACGCGAGAAAGATAATTCCCAACTTTTTTTTCCGTCCACCACCGTAAGTACAGTCTGTTTACTTGCGAATTAAGTCGCCGACACCCCTCAGGGGTTGCTTCATACCCGTCGACGATTCCGCGTGCGTCACAAACACCACCGCTGGCCGGTGTTCCTGGAGAACCTTCTTTAGGTCGATTAAATCGAACGGCACGCCGTACGGCGTCTCCAGAAATTTTACCTGAAATGAATTTCGTTTTTTTGGAAAAAAAAAAGAAAATAAATAGAAGATATCTTATTATTTCGTTTCTCTCTCTCTCTTTTTTTTTCCGGCTCTTTCGTACGCGATAGTGTATTTATTTCGTACATTTGCGCCAATGCGACTGGCCATGTCGGCCGCACGTTCCCCCCAAATGCCGCATTTAGCGATCAGCACAGTCTCGCCCGGCTCGAGTAAATTATCCAAGCAGGCCTCCATACCGCCATGACCGGATGTGCTTAGGGCCAGGATAAGTCTGTTCCTGGTTTGAAACGCATATCGCAATCCCGCTTTTATGTCGTCCATCAACTGCGAAAAGGAAAAAAAACTTTAGGGCGATGCCGTCCACGGAAATGTCGGCGGCGATTCAATTATTCAAATCAGCTCAACGCTCGCTCGCGCGACGTTAACGATGAAACATGGTAGTTTCAAGGTCGCACGACCTTTTCGCGTAGTTCCGGAAATACCTGGCATATCTCCGGATGAAGGTGACCGAGCACTTGCTGCCCGAGAGAACGGAGGACCCGATCCGAGCAGTTGCTGGGACCGGGACCAGTTAAGAGTTTCTCGGGCAGAGACACCGGTCGCAGTATCTCTTCCGGTGGCTTCTTGTGAACGGCGCATCGTCGCCAGGTGGGTAAATCTGCCATACCTCGGGTCTGTTTTTCCTGGCTTTGCCAAGATCGCGGTTTCTCCGAGAAATCCTGTAGTTTCGTCGTGATCTCACGATGAGAAGTGAGAATATGAGAAATGTCGCGCTCGCAGTGAAGATAAACGAATAGCTATGACGAAAACACTGTGCTGCGCGTAGATAAGATATCGTCGTCTTTTTTTTTTTTTCTATGCTCGTGCGTTTCTTTATTGCTTAGAGTCGCATATAACAAACGCGGATTTTATTTCTCCTATTTGTTATTCTCCTATATTTCCCCTGGTATGGTGTATCGTACGATGGCAGAAATCATCGGTGTCGTATCAAGCGGATTCAATTAAAGCGTTCAGTTCGTTTCGAGATAACAGACGCGACTATAAAATCCCATGTGTGTTTGGGGGATACTGAAGAATCAGGCCACTTGCGCATCCGATTTCTATCAGAGATTAGCTCACACGCGTATCATTCGATGCGAAAACTCGAGATTTTCTATCAAAGCATCATTGGCTTTAAAATTCTCTTTTATATTCATATTTATTATTAATTTATTTTTGTTCACTTCGTATTGTGTTTATTTGCGAACTTTTAACGATAACCCGAGTTTATAATAATAAAGAAAATAAAGAATTAAATTATCGAATTAAATTTGTTAAGTTAAAATATTTGGGATAAAAGAAATTAAAGAAGTTGTATATAAATAAAGATTAATTTAAAATATTAATTTAATTGTAGTTATATAAATTTCTCTTATATGTTTTCATGAATGGATATGTTAATGTGCATGTGCGGAAAGCATGGTAATCTGAAGTTTTATAAAATAATTTAAACGATTCGCTGATTTGAATTTCATGTTATAAACATAAATATTTTCGCTATAATTCAAATGTGCTACGATACTGCGTTGAATAATAAACATCTTGACATACATTCGAGATACGTTAATGATGAAAGCATTATATCTATTATCATCCATAGAATGAGATAGGTCAGGATCGAGAATTTTTGCAATGGAAAATTTTTTATCTTTATTATAAAATCATATGGATACATTTCGGTGATTTGACAATTTTAAAATGCTGGCGGATATACAAGTAAATGCCGGATATACAGGGTGATTCAAACCATTTGTCCCTAAAAACATTATTTCTAACTAAATTTCGAGACTTAACTTCTTTCCTTGTGTTCAAAATTTACATTTTTAATTATAAAAGGAACTAATTTATTTATTACAGAAAAATACATAAAGATAATGACGATAGCAATTCAGATATAAATGCAAATCTTCTGGAGCTAAACATTTCCTGAAATAAAAGTGACTCCTGTACCCAATTCCGCATAATAAGCAAACAATTTCTTTTTATAATTCAAAAACTAAACCTCGGGCAAAGTTTGAAAAGAGAACGAGAATCATCTCGGAATTCAAATTAGCAATTTCTAAAACGAAAATTCAGAATCACCCTGTACATCAGATTATCCGCGCGGCGGCAGATTGCCGTGGCGCCATCTACGAAGCAACGCAGGCATGCGCGCGCACTCGAGAATTTGGCACGCGGTTCGCTCGTAGCTCGCCGCACGAATTCCGTGCGTGCATTCCCGATTCAGTCTTATTCGATAGCGGATCTCGGTCGGACGGCAGGTGAGACCGCGGGTGATTCGCGAATCCAGCCTTGGTCGCGAATCGCGCCGCTAGTACAGGTAAAAAAAGTGCGCACTTACTTAACAAACGTAAACGCGCGCGTGTCAAGCGTATTTTATGACGCAGCCGATTATCGACCGAGCGTTTTTGGATCATTCCGCGCAGTGTTTTTATCGACCAAGCGATCAATCTGGTCGGCGGGGAGGGGAAAACGGATTAGTCGGCAACGTTTCCCGTTGTTCGGAATTTTCGATAGATCGTCGGTGCGCGCACGTGCACCCGTCGCGCCAAAGCATTGTGATCGGTGACACGTGTCAAGCCGCACGATCGGCTCGATCGCGGTAAGTCGGAAATATTTCGTCGTCATTGTCGTCGTTGCCCTCCTCCCCACGATCTTTCGTGTCCCTTCTCTTCTTCTCTCCCCTTTCTCCTCGCCTTCGCCACCATCGCCGCCTTCTCCTCCCTCTTCTCCCCTCTCCCTCTCCTTCTCCTCTTCTCTTCTCTCCTCTCCTCTCCTCGCCGCGGCTTTTCTCGGCCGACCGGTCGACCGGTCGACTGGCTTCTCAAGGGGGCGTGCTTGCTCGGGTACAACAATGAGCGAACGCGAAACTATCTAGGCACGAGGCGCAAACGAATCCGTTTCTCCGTGTGGCTCGTGTGTGGCCCGGCCGGCCACTCCGCGGCACTCGATCGCGAACAATCGCGGGCACGTGAACGTCGAGCTGCGGGATCGTGCGGGATCTCTTCTTCCTTCTCCTCGCTGCGTATCTGCCATCGACGATCCGACCGAAGGGATAAGGGAACCCTCCTCCGCCGAGGAGCGTTCGGACGCGCGAGATCGGACGGATCGCCGTGTCCCGTTGCGGCTCTCGAAGCTGTGGGCCCTCTCTCATCTCGCCGTTACGAGGTACCTCGCTTGTTGTAATTATTACGACCGGATCTCCGAATGTTACACGGTGTGACCGTAGAGCGGAGTGGTGGACTCTTCTGTCCCGTCGATCGATCGACGGGATCGCAGATCGTCGAACTCTTCCGCATAAAATTTTTCGCGGGG